TATTTCGCATCATTAATTACTGAAGGACGGTAATCAAGTTACTTTTAAACCTCATGTCACTAATGCTTGTCCTCCATTTATTTCAGTCACATTACTCATATCTCTGAGTCTTTCATTCGTACTTTGGCAATGAACGTATCACAAAGTATCAAATCAAATCAAGAAATATCAACTAATATATTCACAAAATATGAAGTAATAATAATTAATATATGACTATTATTATCATTATTATTATTAATTGCTAGGAGGGGCTATCATTATTCATTAGTGACATTATTAAGGATACTCTGGTTGATCGTAAGATGAAGAAAGCTGAGTTACTGAGACACGCTCAAACTGCTGAAGCATTGTGGAGGAAAGTAAAGAGCATTTATAGTTTAATCATTATTGTTATTGTTGCTATGGTAACTGATATGTGATAGTATGATAGTACATATTTGTGGTGGCTCATTGATAGTCTAAAAGTTGGACCCACGATAGCTTTTTCAAATAATACTGCTTAAAAGGAAGCTGACTTTTGGTAGGCAGCAAGCAACAACAATGGGGCAAATAGCTTGTGTGTTGGTCATTAGTCAATGGTTTACATTTGCTAATCTTAAGTATTGGGCATTGTATATATTAACAGAAATTTTAAATGCAATTTTCGGGATTATATTTCATTATGTGGCTACTAAAATTTTAAGTGGAGCTGTGGCTATTAGTAGCTTCTTGATTATAAAACTCTGGCGTTTAGCCAGAGTCTTATGTGCACGAATATACAAGGGTATGGGTAAGTTAATATCAAAACTCTGGCAATCACGTATACAAAGACTTCAAAGAAATAAAAGGATGCCCAACCCCATACTACCTATTTAATTAATTATACTAGCAGTGGACCTACAATCATAGAAATCTATATAAGTGTTTATAGGCTTCTGTTTTTCGTAGCTAGTGTAGTTAAGTAGCTCCATTGTTGTTGTACTTTTGGCTGCCACTCTCTCCGTTACTTGAGGTGGCGGCCTTTTATTAATAAATAAACAATAATAATGACACTACACTATTTATACACACATTTATTATTATTATTATTATTATTATTATTATTATTATTAAATGTTATCATTATTATAGTTATCTCCAATGGTTGATAACTGTGGATCATTCGACTTCACACCGTTAAAGTAATTAATACATCAATTATTAATTATTCATTAATTAATTACTAGACACAGCCTATTATGGAGGTTAGATCTCAAAGAGGATTCTCACAGACGAAGATTAAAGACATTACCTAATCACAATGGATCCACTCACAGTAATGCAGTGAGGAGCAACCCTGAACAACTAGCAATGGAGCATAAGAGGTACATGTATATTGAATATTATTATTTATTTATTTATTATTATTATTATTATTGTTATCATTATTATTATTTTTGTTTATTATTAATAGTTCATTTGATCCTAATCTGTTACTGTCTCCATTACCAACTGATGAAGATCGACTCACTGATGAAAGAGTAGGAGATGAAGAAGGAGACATGATAATAGAAAATAAAGAAAGTGAATGATAATGAAACACCTGCTTTGTATACTCCCTCCCTCCCTCCTTATAGCTCCTCAGGTTTCATTAGACTGTTCAATGATATTCCTCTCCTATGTACTACCTGGTACTCTGTCATTCACTAAACAACACTTCACCTTCACTGCTGATGATTCATCCACTGAATGTAATAAAGTATCTCAAATTGTAAGCAGCTATCAGTTATACCTTAAATATTCTAATTGTTAGTATCATTACATTATTCTTTATTGCTAGTGTGACTATTGTCCGTTGAGTGACCAGTGGTTACTGCTCAGTGTTACTGCTGTGTTCTCTCGATATTACATTCATCAGTTTAAAGCATTAGAGATATTCTTTAATGATAAAAGTATGTCTATTATCATTCATCTTATCATTATATATACTGCTACATTAGGTTCAATATTTATTGTATTAAAGAGTCCTTCAGATAGAAAGACTGTCATTAATCTACTGCCTAAAGTTGGTATTGGACCAAACTATGGACTACCACAAACAAGGTAGAGCAACATGAACTAACATGAACCTGTTATACGCACTCTCTGATAGATGTTGATGTCCTTATGCTGTGTAGAAAGTTTGAGCAGATTCTGACTTCAAT